TAAAAAAAGAAGCAATAAACAAAAAAGAATAAGAAATAGAGAATGAAGAAGAAGAAGACTGAAAACAAGAAGAAAAAGATCAGAGCGGAGCACTTTGCAAAATGTTTTTCGCCATGTTTTTCTATATTTATTTATTTTTCTATTCTATGTTGTTTACTTTGATTACAACTCTAGATATTTCTATTTCTGAACTATTYAACTATGTTATATTACAMATTATGGKTGCTTTCCATTTAGGCAGAACTGGCCGGCCAGTCCGCTCGATTTAGMGGTATATACTCCTTTTTATCAACATTTTTCAGTCATTTCGAGGTTTTCTATATAATAATGGATAGAATTTGAAAATTTGAATTTCCTAACCAAATATGAATGATATATAATGATATTTTCTCTGGGTCTGGCCAGCCAGTTCTGACAAATCTAAAGCGCCCTATGTATCATTTAGAACCCCACTGTCCTMTATTTCAAAGGTTTTAYATTTTAGAGAACAATCCCACGTTGCAATAAAATCTATGACGAAGTGATTTCCTACGCGTTAAACAAATAATACAGCACGACTTCCTCCCTAAATAATAARAACCTAGRRACGTGTGAGCAAATAACCAACCTCGGATGTGTTTAATTTAAGATAAATGTTGACATCAGATTTTTTTATGAAATTTTCCATAATGTGTTGCGGTAGTGTTGAAAATGCCGACTGGGCACAGCATAGACTGAGAAAATTTGATTGCTTTAAAAAAAAATTGCTTTAAAATAATAATCAAGAAATTTAACTTTAGATTAAAAAGAAACACAAATTTTGAGAACTTTGAAAAATGCTGTATAGCTTTTTATACACATATTGGAGATAAATACAATGCCTAGGTCAAGATGAAATGCCGATTTGATTAGAAGAAAATTAAAAACAACGAAGACGGAGAAAGACGAAGGAGACGACGACGATAACGCTAAAGGGGAAAAGACGAAGATGACTGAAGAAGAGAGAAAAAAAAAGTTAAAAAGAAGAAGAAGAAGAGGAATTGGAAGAAAAAGAAAA